TTTTAGATTCATAACGGCCCTGTAGTACAGAGTAGAACTGGTCAGATTCATCTTTATGGAAGCAGATCGCCCGTCTCTTCCTCAGGGCAGCTGGTGAGATCTGAACCATGCCCTTCCTCCGAGCAGCTGAGTGCCCAACCACTCACCACAGAGCTCTCTGACTTTGGATATTAGCGGCATGTAAAATTATTCTTTTCCTTAAGTATTTTTCAGGGTCACTTATTAAAAATGAGGAAGTAGATACACATAAACATTTTTGACAGAATGTTAATATAATCATCTTGCATATGAGTAGGGATATTCAACATGGGCTTGAAGTTAATGATACTATTTTTGCTTCATTAAAGCAAAATTCTGAAACAGGTTACATACCGTAGGAAGACTATTCCCATATACTATAGACATCTTGTATGTAAAATTTTAGATGCAAAATTTCTTTTCAAAATTTAAACTTGAAAAACATTTTTAAAATTAAACTTTTATGATTGTATTGAAACTCAAACCAAATCCATCGCTATTGAATATATTTAGACTCATAGTGACCTTTTGTAGCATTTCTGAGCGTACGACTCTTCAGTGGAGCAGGAGGCATCATCTTTATCCACAGAATGACTGTTGCTCTGTAGTCAGCCGCCTGGTGCTTCTACCGCAGCACCACTGGCTCTCCTGTTAGAACAGACAACACAAAACATTTGGAGACTCTAACGCAGGTGACTGAAACATGAAACAGCTAGGAATATAAACTTCAAAAAAAAGGGAGTTTACCATTGAGTTGTTCCAGACCTGGGAGCTGTACTTTAAAAGGTACTGCTGAAATGTTAAAAAGGCAGAAGGCAGACTGAAAAGAGAGGTGACAGGTGTGACTCTATCCAAATGGTATATTGTTCTGTGTGTGTCTGAGCGTTCCAGTGTTTGTTGTTGTTTTGTTTTGTATCTCCTTCCCCAGTGTTCTTCAGTGCACAGCGAAACGCAGTCTGAAGGATTCTTCACGAAGTTGTCAGTGCTCTGTTTGCAATTCCTCCTTCAGTTCAGCATCGAGGTTTTGTGTCTGAGTGTCGGATCGCTTTTATATAACTGTGCATCCTTTTTTGCATGCCCCCTTTCATGCTTCTTAGTGGTTCCATCTCTTTTGTACCTAGTGTATCATTGCTTTCCCATTTACTTGCATAAGCGATGCATGAAATTACCCTGGACCTCTACTCGGGAGCGTGTGCTACAAAACCGGGCGGGCAGTGATGCTGGAAGTCTCCTTGTGTCTTCACCTGCTCTTCTCTCTGGTTCTCTTTCCTGGCTGTCTTGCAGTTTTGAGCAGCACCGAGAGACTTGCCCGGGAGACGCCCGTTTCGTGTGCAAGGCTGACAGCTGTGGAAAGAGACTGAAGAGCCAGGGTGCCTTGCGAAGACACCAGGAGAGCGTCCACGCGGGTGAGCAGTCATGGAAGGTTGTTTGTGAAGGGGGATCTGCTCCCCGGCTGCAGTGATGTGGTTTTCGTGCTTACTCCCAAGGAGAGGGTTTGCTTGTCCCTCATATTTTACACAGATGTGGAGTTCCGGCAGTGGGCTCTGTATCTCTCTGAACACTCTCTTTCTTTTTCAAGTTGATGTCAGCAACATTTGTCATTTCCCCCACCTCTGAATTGATCCCCATCAACCTAAGGGAAGGAGCCCGAGTGGCACAGCGGGTTAAACACTGGCTGCTAACCGAGCCTGCCAGCCACTCTATTGGAGAAAGATGAGGCAGCCTGCTTCCTTAATAACTTACACACCCTGCCAAACCCGAAGGAGCAGGGCTACCCTGCCCTGTGGGGTCACTGGGGGTCCGAATCGCCCACGTGAGATTGGGTTTTAACCTAAACTGGACTCTCATTGTGCTTGGCAATCAACTGGAGAACAAATACTTTAAACAGCAATTTAATATTTTATCTTTTGAAATTTACTGCCAGAATAGACTATTTTAGATGCATTTTAAAGCATCTTTTGAAATAAGCTGCCAAAATAGACTATTTTAGATGCATTTTAAAGCTAAAATTCCAATTTTTAATGCTTAGATTTCCCCTATTCTGGAGACAATGCCTGGCTGCATTTTGATACAGGAATTGAATATGTGCGGATGAACGATGAATGTCCCCTTAGACTCCCTTCTAATGGCCAACGAAACAACGAAGCAACAATGAAACTGACTCTTCGTTACTTTACGTCTGTGCAGCACATGGTCGGCAGTCGGTATTTTGGTTTCAGGATTGGCTCGACGGCACCGAGTTGGACAGATGGCTGCCTCGTCAGAATGAACTCTTTACTTGCTCAGTGTCATTTCCTTAAAGGGCGCTGCGTTTCACAGAACTCTTTGCATCTTTCTGTGCATGTACTTGGCTCATGTGCTCATTTCTGCCCTTTCTTAGCTGCAGGGAAGTGAGTGGAAATTATAGTATTCGTTCTCCTTGAGCCGATTTGGACTCCAGGTGGCCCCATGGGTGCAGAGCAGACTAGCTCGCTTCCGAGGATGGCTTTTCAAGACAGTGACCATTTGGAAGCAGGTCATCCTGGCTGTCTTCCGAGGGACCTCTGGTGGATTTGAACTACCAGCTTTCTGACCAGGAATGAAATATTTAAATGTTGACACTGCCCAGGGACTTAAGTGGGAACGAACCTCTCTGGATGGGGAGAAGTCAGTTTGTTTTTGCTTACCTTGTTTATTCTCATGTTCAGTAGAAATAGAAATCCCAGTCCAGCTTCTGCATCCTAGTGTTGATTACCAAAAATGACCTACTTTAATAGAACAGTGATAGGAGCTGTGAGGGCAGGTGTGTCCTCAAACTATGGCCCGCGGGCCGCATGCGGCCCGCCGAGAACATTTATCTGGCCCACCGGGTGTTTTTGCCCCATTTGTTTTTTTACTTCAAAATAAGATATGTGCAGTGTGCATAGGAATTTGTTCATAGTTTTTTTTTTTAACTATAGCCTGGCCCTCCAACGGGTCTGAGGGACAGTGAACTGGCCCCCTGTTAAAAAAGTTGTAGGACCCCTGCATTAGGGCATGACACAGGTTCAGACTTTGCATCCTTAAGTGCATTGCTCTTAAACTATGCACGAAGCTTCTAGAAGTTAGTGCACTATCCAACTTCGGGAGATTGCCCATCACCAGGACTTTATAATGTTCTGATGTTATTTTTTCTGGCTTAAGGAAGACAGTACTTTTATAGCTTTATTATACGTGTGCCTTCTCTATGTATGCAGGAGGGAAGTGTAATTTATATATATAGTGTAATATATATATATATAATTGCTGCCTCCGTATGTACATTTGTAAAGTTCTTATGGTTAAATGCTGCTTTCATTTTCTCCATCTTTCTCTGAAATCTTTCATGTTAGTTTTAAAAGTTAACTTTGCTGAACTGAGTAAAAAAACCAGATGCATCCGGAAACTCGGGAAGCCTTCCGTGCACTCATTACTGGGCCCGTGGTCTTCAGGCTCTGGTCTGCTATGAGCATGATTTCTTTGGGGCTTTTTGTAATTGCCCTTGGATCTAATATTACTGATTCTGGAACTTCCTAACATTTTATAGGAAATAATTTATAAACAGCAATTTTGTTTTGTTTTTCCTCGGTTCATGTGGATTATGTAAACTGCAAAACCTTACCAAATTTTAGCCCAGTGCCACCGTGTAAATAAAGCTTTTGGTAGGCCAGGACCCCAGTCTTCTTCTCTCGTTCAGAGCATTGTCTCGCATTGCCCTCTTCTCTCTCCCCAGCCCCTGGTCTTCTTTCTCCCCTTCTCTTTGAGCCCTCCTCTTTCCTTTCTGTATCCATTGGATACTTTACATGTGACTTCTTGTGGTTTTCAAGCAGCATGTAGGCCAAATAATAGGAATATATCTTATAAAGTGAGTTACTTAATGTTTGCTTCTAACACATTATTAGTCATATATGCAGGTCATTCATTAACTCAACAACTACTTGAAGCCAGCAGGGTTTAAAGAGGCTGGGAACCTGAGTTAAAAGGTCAGATAGACTATGGTCTCAAGAACCTGACCTGTAGGAGGGGATGAGGGCAAGGCAGAATCTAAACCAACAGAAAGTCTGTGTGATGGGTGATCTCAGGCGAGGGTGAAAGCTATCGAAAAGAATCAAACAGGATAGAAAGGGCCAGTGCCAAGGCTCTTCAGCTTTCGTGTGGATGGGACCCTCTGAGAACCTATGGACCCCTTTTGCAAACGATGTTTTAAAATTTATACAATAAAATGGTTGACACCAAGGACCCAATTTATTGATATGTTGCTGCTGCCAGTAAGTCGAACCAGCGCAGTAAGAAGAGGGACGATGGAAGGTCTGAAGGGTTTCATTTTACTTGGGTCCAAAATCAAGGTGTATGGCCAGAGCAGTCAGAAAAACCAGATGCCGTCTTGGATAGGGTGAATGGGCTTCAGAAGATCTTTGAGAGTTTTATAAAACCAAGATGCCACCTAAGGCACACCTGACCCAAGCCATGGGGTTTGCAGTGGTCTCTTATGTGTGGGGACTCCAGACCGTGAATAAAGGGCACGAAAGAAGACTTGATGCGCTGGAAGCGTGGTGCTGATGAAGGATGTTAAAGACATTGTGGACTGCCAGAAGAAGGAGCAAGTTTGTGTTAGAAGAAGTGCAGTCAGAAGACCCCACAGCGGCAAGAATAGAGAGACTTGATCTCACATACTTTGAGCATGTCTCTTGGAGGAACCAGTCCCTGGAGACGAATACCATTCTTGGTCACCAAACCAAGCTCACTGCTGTCAACTAGGCTTACTCACAGGAGAGGGTAGAATGCTCATGTGAGTTTCTGAGACAGGGACTCTTTATGGGAGCAGAAAGTCCTGTCTTTCTGTTGTGGTTTCGAACTGCTAACCTTTTGGTAAGCAACCCAACAGGTAACCAGTGTGCTATCAGGGTTCCCCGTTCTTGATAGAGGGCTAGTGACAAAGAGGGGTCTCTTACAGAGCTAGGTCGGGAGTGAGCTGTATGTTGTTCTGTTAAACCGAGAGTGGCTATGAATCACAACTGACTCTATGGTCTCCAATGAAATAACAATGTATTCATGTGCTTGCAAAATATCTTCAATGAATAAAGAAGACCAAATATGAATTGATGCATTTGAATTCAGTATTGACAAAGAATACTGACTATTTCATACACTGCCAGAAGAATGATCAATCTGTGTTGGACGTAGATAGCCAGATGTTTCTTAGAAGGGAGGCCAGTGAGACTTTGCCTTATATATTTTGGATACATTAGCAAAGATCGTAGACCCTCAAGGACTTCACAGTTGGTAAAGTGGCGGGTCAGCTTAAAGAAGAATGCCCTTAGTATGGTTGACACGGTGGTTGCTACAATGGACTTAATCATCAACACTGAAGAAATACTATACCGTATCTTAGTAAGTCTTAAAAAGGTTTTCCATAAGTCTGCTGATGTTGAAATTCTTTCACAAATAATTGTAAGAACTCCTC